GGGAGGGAAGGGAGGGGAAGGAAAAGGGAAAGAAAGAAGGAAAGAAAGGAAGGAAGAAAGAAGAAAGAGAGAAAGAGAAAAAGAGAAAAAGAATTATTGTCTATGAAGTTATGGCGCTCACTATGCTCCACCATCATACACTGCACAATAAAGAAAATTAAAAGAAGTAAAACCTAGAAATCCTACTCAATCAAAATAATTACTCATCATTAAAAATCCTGAAAAGTGAAAAGCAATACTTAAAATTCAAAAACAGTTTAAGAAACCCAGAAAGGTTAACAGTATATTAAAGGACTCATCCACTCTCAGTGCATAAACAGTTACAGTTAGAGATGCCAAGGGGCCCATCAAGTGTGTTTTACCTAAAGGATTCTGCTCCTGACCTAGCGGAAGGGTAATAGAAAAACACCACTCTGATAATCTGCACCATCACCACAAATCAAAGCTCTGATAAGTCCTGTATTTTTTTAATACACTGTCCTTTAATAGTAATACTAGGATCATTCCATATTTTTTCTAGGGACAAAACGGGATTTCAAAACACTCTCCTGAAAATAAGTCTCTCCCCTCCCTAAGATTTATATGAGAATGGTCACTGCCTTGGGAAAATTAAAATGTAGTCTATAATGGTGACTATTTAAATAATTCATATATTTCTTCCATGGTCATTACTCATTGCCAAAAGAAAAGGAGCTTATATATACAGTCCTTGAATGTTGTGTGGAGTCAAGGAAAGACAAAAACCAGAGCTCAAGGGTGGGTCCGGGTTTCCTCTCAACAACATTCGACTGTACTGACCCCTGGTGGCCCTTGAAGGACTCCTTTTTCGACAAAGGAGCTTATTTTCCCTTCATTGTGTGCCTAAACATTGTATCCCCGGGGAGGAATCCTTTCACAATGTGTGTGTGTATTAAATCATCACGTGGTACACTTAAAATATCCTACAGTTTTGTCAATTACACCTCGATAAAGCCAGAAGGAAAAAACATGACATCACCACAAATAAGGACCCGATCGATATGCCTGTCTTCACAAAGGATAAAGATGTTTATAGAATGTGAAAAGGGGGCATCATATTTAGATTATATAGCTTTCAACTACTCATTTAACATGTACTGACTTCTACCTGTGTGCAGAGTACCGTGCTAGGTCCTGAAGACACAGGGAGAACAGGCCTCACGCAGACTTTCTATCAGGTCCGGCCAACTAAAAGTGACAGGCATGGACCATGAAAAGCACAGAGGGCAGAGGAGATGTCCAGAGGGGCTGGGCCCCCTCAGACAACGCCTGAAGGAGGACAGCAAGCAGACAGACAGCACGCCAGGCAGAGGGAACAGCATATAGGAAGGCTCTGGGATCGGACAGACTGCTGGGTTTAAGAAATTTAAGGAACAATTTAAGCCTAAAGTACAGAGGTCGAGGGTAAGGGTGGCACTAAACAAGACCAAAGAGGTGGGCAAGGACCAGAATTTGTGAATGAGTTTTAATTTTTCAAGCACCCAAATTTCACTGAGAGCGTTGATCTTTTTTTTCTCCCCCCACCACAGCAATATGACAGGTCAAATCCAAAACTTACTACATGAGCAATCCTATAAATCTTTCAACCTATAATCTCACATCTTCCAGCCTTTCTCCACTATTCTCTTGTTGTGTCTCCTCTGGTACATATTCTGTGTACCACTCACTGAACAAATTAATCCCTCAGAGGCTGCCACCCTCAGGGCTGAGACTGTCCTGCCTGGTCATGGAGCAGAGGTGGCCTCTGAACGGACCAACCATGGACACCTGACCGAGTGAGCCATCCACGGGATGCCAGACACCCATGCAGAGCTTTGCTTCTAGGACTCTTGAGGATGGTGGTTATTTAGCTGAGCCAATGTGCTCAGTCTAGACTGAGACTAGAGAACACCTTAGAGGTTGGAGGAGAGGGAATGGAGCTGGCCACAAGGACAGAGGGAGCGGGTGGCCCCCAAAGCACAGGCCCTTATGTTTACGGCAGACCGTCTTTGTCCTGAGGTGGCCTGAGTAAGACTCTCTCCTTAGAGGCACCTCATGGGCCTCAAAGACTCAGCACCTCACAATTCCTCTGCTATTGCACAACCTCACATTTTTCTATTACCCTTGTGTAACTTAATCCTTGTCAAACTAGTCATCTTCCCACATCTCTGAAGACCGAGATCACATGGTTAGCCTCCTTGTATCCATCATGGCACTATAAATCCTCAACACGTATTTGATGGGTGGAGGGTGGATGAATGGATGGGTGGATGGGTGGGTGGATGGGTGGGGGGTGGATGGATGGATGGGTGGGTGAATGGATGAGTACATGGGTGGGTGGGTGGATGGATATACGGATAGATGGAGGGAGGGATGGATGGATGGAGGGAAGGATGGACTGTCAAACAACTGATTCCTGGGGAACTTATAATAAAATCAAAAAATAGGAGCTGAGAATAAAGTCCTGACTCTTTAAGACTCACAATATGCTTCCTAATCTTCAACTCCTATCTCCCTCAGCACACTCCAGTAACCCGCTTCTCCCAAACCCCCAGATACTCGAGGCTGTCTTCCACTTCTCCTACCTCCACGCAAATCCTCCTCTCTCCTAAGTCTCACAAACATCAACTCTTTCCTCCTCTACACACTCAGATGTCTGGTCCGCCCAGAGTTCATCACCCCCATTCTAGGCGTCTATGAGTCCTGGTACACGTTCTGCTTTCCTCTGCGGCACAGCCTGACCAGAAGCCCAGCGTGCTCCCCATCCTCATGCAGATGCTCCAAGGACATGTGCTGACTAGGGGGACCTAGTTCTGCTTTTAAGATGTGGCCCAAAAAACACAAGCGAAAGGAAGTTGAAAAAATGTTTTGACTTTAGTAAGTACATGGTACTTTTTATCTTATCTCAGGTCTTATGCTAAAGAATGATTTTTCCTTCTAATAACGTGGCTCTTGATGGAGGAAGGAGAGGGCAGTTTTCTGAGGGGACATCTGGTGACATCTGGAGACATTCCTGGTTGTCACGACTTGGAGGGAGGGAAGACCTGCTACTGGCATTTAGTGGGGAGAAGTCAGCGATGCTACTAAATGCCCTGCAGGGCACAGGGCAGCAGCCACAGCAAAGAATTGCTGATCATAACTTCCTAAGTGAGACGTCCTGTTCTAATAGAATTATTTTGTTATTTTATAAAGCTCTTATTTGTGAATTTGCACGTCAGAAATTCAAAAAAAAACCATTTGAAAATATTCTAAGAATCTTCAAACAGGGGAGGAAACCTGAGGCAGAGACACGGGAGGGCATTTTCGTGCCCCTGCCCTGCTGGGTCTCAGCACTACGGGAGTTGGCAGCAAACACAGGCAAAGGTGGACAAGCTGGGGAGAAAGAAAGGTTGGAGAACAGAAGATTGATGTGGCCATTTAAGGTCACTGGAGTTTTCAAAGCAAAGATAAAGTAGGTTAGTCCAGTCTCTCATCAGGAGTCATCATTCTGGGACATAGAATTTGCCATAACAGCTGCATATTCATTATTTGGTTTTAATACGCAATGTATGCAGTAACAAAGTATGATAAACCTCATTTAATTAGTTTCATACTCAAATGGGAAATCTTTAAGCTTCAAATGTTATGTTATATAAAAAATGGTTAAAACTCTAGTATGTTATATTATAATAAAGGCTAACCCATTGATAACAATAGTAAATTAAAAATAAACCACTTACATTGTCTAGATGCTCAGGTTAATGTTTTTCTGTTCACTGAATTCGGAGATACTTTCCCCACCTGACCTATTTAAATCATATTAACATTCCCCCCAGAAAATGTATGTATACTCACATTTACTTGAACTTGAATGGACCAGTCACCAAGTATTGGATGGGAAGACAACTGGAAAGTTTTGGAAACGACTCCAAGGTCGCTTTGTTCTGACAACCACTGTTGGACCAAATTTGACTTGGGGTCCTACAACGAAAACCACACAAGTTTAATTAGGTAAAGCCAGCCCGTGTGCGCATGGATCCTACATGGTTGTGAATGCGGCTGTGCAGTACTCCCAGGCAAAGCACATCCAAAATGTGGGAGACAGAGAAGATTCTGGAAAATGTCAGCTCTGTATGACTGAAGAAGGAAGACAAATCAAAATTTCTTCTTTTCTCAGATTTTCCCGAGAACATCCTTACTCTGCTCTTTTTAACCCTTGGCAACATATTTCCTTCTACATGAAACACTACAAAGTATACATCACCAAACCGTGTTGTTGTGAGAAATTTCCACTGTAGGGATAACAGGCCCCGTGTAGTAAAGGCCCGTGATGTGCCCGGCACCCTGCCTTAGCATTACCACTCACACATCATCCAGTCATTTTGATCCTCCTTCAGGCTAGAACTATTATTACTGCAGTTGAGAAAACTGATGCTCAGAGAGGTTACGTAAGCCCTCAACTGTAAATGCCAGCCATGGTCCAATGCCATAGCCCCAGGCAACGGTGGAATTCAGGATTCAAACCCACGTGTCTTTTCACTCAACAAAAGTATGTCATAGGGGTGTTAAACAATGGGGTGTGTGCAAAACATTTGAGTCTTCTCACGCTCTCCCAGACCACAAACGCTTCGGGCCCCGTCCATCCAAGCGAATCCAGCAGTCACCCCAGGCTCCCCTCACCTGCCCAGCCCTGTCAACTCTGCCTCTTTAACTTCTCTCACATTTGTCTCTTTCCACCCTCACAATCAGCCACAATGCCTGTTTTAACTATTGCAACTAATCTCCCTCCTCCAGTCTTACCCCTCTGATCCATCCTCCCCAGTGCCGACAGTGTCATTCGTCAGAAACAAGGACCTGAGACTGAGGCCAGGTGGTTGAAATGCTTGGCACGGTTCCTGGCATGTAACAAGCAGTGAGGAAACACAGACTACGATCACTATATTAGACCAGCAGGTGACGATGACTCTGTCTGTCTACAGGATGAGATCCACACTCCTTGGCATAGTTTACAAGGCTTATTGGGAAGCGGATCTCATCCACATTTCTAGGCACATCTTCCTCCAAATGTACAGATTTGTTTGCCATTTGCCCCCATGGTCCATGCCTCTAGGCCTCAGCTGCGTGGAAGGCCATCTCGTCCTCGTCCGGCCAGTGAAACAAGCTCCAGCCTCTTGCTCTACACGTGCCTGCACCCAGCAGCAGTGACCGCTGCCTGAGAGCCCCAGTGCATCTGGACATTTCCCCTCCTGACACATACTACTATTTAAGGCACTCATTTGTTTTCTGGGCCTTTTGTGTGTGTGCGTGTGTGTGTCTGTTAACGTCACTGTTATTTTTTGGTTTTGGTGTTTCTGTGTTTCCTAGACCATGAAGTCCTGGCAGTGAGGATCAAATATTTTTCCTTGTTCTTATCCTCTATCCTCTGACTAGAGGTAGTGGGTTGGCCTGGTTATTAGAAGCCGTAAGAAACCTCTCTCCCCAAGCGAGGGAGAATGTGAATCAGCGTAAGTACAATGCTGAGAACTGAGCAGGAAGTGGTCTAGGGAGCCAGAAACTAACTGTTAAAACCAAAGACCACAAGCAGGTCAAGAGGAAGCAGGTCACTCGGCAAGCCCGGGGGGCAGGCAGGCACTGTCATCAGGGCTGGCTCTCCTGTGCCCACCACGGTGTGATGCTACAGAGCTCAGAGGATCAAACACAGATGAAGACAAAGAGCTAACATACACATGCTGTCTAATAATCAAGGGAATGCAAATGAAGAAAATGAAAGGCCATTTTTCTCCTGTCACACTGACAAAAATAAAAACAACAGTAATTCCCGGTGTTATTTAAAATGTAGGGGAAGAAATGTTTCCAGCCTACGGATGTACTCTTTTGGTGAAGGTGCACACTTCTTCCACTGTGCTACAAGCTAAGTAAACCAAAGTGTCTGATGGCCTAGAGGATCTGGAGGGTTGGGAGTGAATGAGACAATCCTTCATTTCCCAAGCCTGTCCTGGACCTCGGCACATCACCAAACAGGAGGACAAAGAAAACATCTTTACAGAGCACATCAGGGTTTGAACAGACAATGCATGGTGACATTGTAGCAGAATGCTGCATTTGCGTGTGGTCGCCTCCCACTGGGATGCACATAGGACAGCAAAATACAATGTGAAGCATGCCCCTATCACAGCCCAGACAGCCACATGGCTGGAGACACTGGAAAAGTGGTCCCCTATGTTCTCTGAGTCAAATCTGGATGGTTCTGGCTCTCCATCAATCACCTCTGCACAGCACAGTGCCCACTGCCGGTGCCAGATATCTCAAGCAATGAACTCCCTGGCTGGAGGATGCAAGTATTCCTGCCACTCCCAGGAGTCCTGGATGATGCTCAAAAGAGTGTGTCTAGCACTTAGAATTAGAGAAGTCATATCACTTCAACAGAGGTAGCCTCTCAGCCAGGGATGAGGTTCTGGGTTTGCCACCACTGCTCCAGGCCAAAATGTCAGAGCACAGACCCCCAAGCCAACAGCACCAGTTCCCACAAGGTCATTCACCTGTACCAGGAGCAATCAACTTCTTCAGGAAGGGAGGTCAGGGTAGAAGCCAGCGTGCCAAGGGCCATCACACTTCCTTCCACAGTATAAGGACAAACTGGCTGGGGGAAGCTGGAATTAAGGCAGAAGTTTACTCCACCAGAGAAAGCCCTTTGCTTCCTGAGAAGGTCAGTTATCCAGGCAGGCAAAATGAATAATATCCAATGATCCCCCAATAAAACACTGAACATGCCTGAATATGCTTTGAGGGTCAATATCTTAGCTACATCCTAGTCATTCTTGGCTGGGCAAGATGGGTCCCCAAAATTTGGTCTCCCATAGTTCCAAGATGCACTTCTCCACACCAGCCTGCAGGTGGTGCTGTGCTAGCAAGTATGACTGCGTCCAAGTCAGGGGCTCTTGTTACACTAAAGGCCACATTTTTCTGGGAATTTTTTCAATAAACCACCTATCCTACACTGAAAGATGTAGAAAACAGCACAGTCTGGTGAGCTCTGGCCCACAAGGCTGTTTTCAGGTGGAGGAGTGCAAGGTGCTGGTGTTCACATCAATGCTCTGACCTGGCCTCTGCACATTACAAGCAAGGAGGCTGGACTGGAGTTCACATCCCCACCTCACTACCCAGATACAGAGAGCGGAGGACGGGCACCCACACGCATGCTCATTCACTGGTCCCAAGCACTGTGCATTCCGCCTGGAATTTCAGTCTAAACTCCCCTCCCCTGTCCAAGCGAGCCACATATCAGCCAGGCCAGCAGGATCCCCCAGGACCAGAAGCAGCAAGAGGAGTCTCTCTGAGCACCACTGGGCATGACAGGCTAAATGCAAAGTCAGAAAGAGGGACCCAAAGAATCTACAAATCAGAAGTTTCAAAGGCAGATGCTAGAGCAGAATGACCCAAAATTTACAAATGCACAGACCAACTGTCCAGGATCAGCAGGGCTAGTTCTAGGTTAATGCCTAGAAGAGGCAGTTTATCTAGTGCTGACTTTTATTCACCTGAGACAGAAAGAGGCAGACTGAATGTAAACAGCCAGACACAGGCAGACACACTTCTAAATCCTGTATCTTGCACAAAATTTCTGGCATATACTCAGTTCTCAGTATTTGTGGACAAATGATGGAGGGTGGGATGAAGGCATTCCTAAACGCTGCTCCGAGAGTTCCATGAATTTTGAAATGCTACTCACTGTATCAACCCACTTCATTCCAACACAAAGCAAAGGCAGAAATTCACAAAGCTGCAAACAAGCTGCAAACACTGATATAGCACCAGTTCCATTCAAGACATACGCGTTGAGCGTGCCAACCAATGCCTCGTCTGCTACAGACACATCTTGGCTTGAAGTTGTATGTGTACACGTTTGTTTGCTTGATTTTCATTTACTTGTTTGTTCAGCTTATAACAACAAAGAAGCTAAGGAGAATAGGGATATACTGAGCTGAAAAGCCTGAATTTACCTTCCATCCTGTGTTATTCACCAGAACATTTAGGGTAACCAATGTGCCAGATTGAGGGGTATTTTTTAGTTCTAAAATCAAGAGTCTCAGCAAACTGGGATGTGCTGGTCACCCTATTCTCATGTAATGATCAAATGTCTAGTATTCTCCTTGGCTTAAGCACAGAAAGCCAGATCCAGCCGGATCTCAGCTGTCTTCAGCTTGGTTCTCACAGGAAAGCACTCAGTCTGCTAACCACGCTGCCTCCAGAGCTCGGTGTTCAAGCAGCAGAGGCCAAATGACTCCCTGCCAGAGGGGTTCCTATTCTAATCACAGCTTATGTTCAGTGAGCATGTACTATGTGTCAGGCACAGCTCTAAATGCTTTTCCTGAATCATCTCACATAACACAAAAGCCTTCGGGAGGTATTATTATTATTACACATTTTACACATAAGAAAACTGAGGCTCAGGGACGTTAGTTAATTTCCTCCAGATCCCAGAGCTTCGATCTACACTTTAAGATGTTAATAAGTCAAATCACTTTATGCCCTTCTCCTCAGAACTCTCCAGTGAATTCTCATTTCACTCAGAGTAAAATCCAAAGTTTATGTCACAGTCAAGAAGATACTGTATAACCCCTCCTCCAACCAACCTACTCGTACCTGAATTCATCTCCTAATATTTGTCCCCTCACTTCCTGGGTTCCAGTGCACTGCCAGCTTGCTCCCCCAATGCACTAACCAGCTCCCACCTCAAGGCTTTTGCACATGCTATTCCCTCTGTGTGTACAGGCTCATTCTTTTCTTCCCTTCAGTTCTCTGCTCAAACAGAGCTTCTCTATCAACTCTACAGAAAACAGTAAACACAAAACACACATTCTCTCTCGTACACACACACACACATATGTACCTATTCCTTTTTTTAGGTATGTGTGTGTTTACTGCCCATCTACTACCCACTGGAATAAAAGCTCAATGTGAGCAGGAACTTAATCCGTTCTGTTCACTGCCCTGTCCCTTCTGGACCTAGGACACAAGTTTAATAAATGTCTGACAAATGGATGAATTAATCAATGAAGAAGCCAGGACTGGAACCCAGAGCCTGAGCTCTCACCGAGTGCTCTACCAAGCCCCTTCCTCGAGAGACACCCCCATGCTGGGAGGGAAGCTCAGCCATGTAAATTCTAAGACATCCCTGTACCAACAATGTGAGCAGAACTTCCAAGAGAGTTTCAGTGAGACAGCTTCCACTCCTGGATTCTTTTCTGTCTGGCACTTACCTTAATTAGAATGTTTAAAGAGGTTTTATAAGGCTTAAAATCTGCGAAGAGCGTTACAATCCGAAACTTCACTTCTTGCTTTGGCTTATACAGGGGCTTGTCTGTTTGAATGAAGACAGTCATTCTCTTGGTCTCAAATGATAAGCGTGTACTATTTGCGAATAAAATCTCATCTTGGGCACGTCCGGTGACACGGAGCTCGTAAATCTCATCGGCACTGCTCAGGGGTAGCTGAGGGAAGAAAGAGAGATCAGATGTGTCAAGGTCTCATTATTTTATCTCAAAAGTTGTACGTTAATTGTAAGTTAGGATTGAAATTTTAAATGCATAGTATTACCAAAAGTAATTGCAATGTTGAACAACATGTCCCTCCTAGGCACCAAAGTTAAACAATTTGTTCTCCCTCGTTCAGCAACCAGGAGTCAGCTCTCCAGTTAAATCACAGGGCTCCTGGACAGCGGGAGGCACGTCCCCTGGCTCTCTCAACAATCACCCTGTCATTTCCTGCGCCAAGTGCAAACTCTTCCTCACTGACACCCTTTGGGCCAGAATGGCTAGTCCCCTCGGCGTTCTATTCCGTGCATCACCCCGTCTGAGGCAGCTCATGGGTGATTTCCTTGCCATACTCTTTCCAGAATCTCTCATCTGTTCCAGGATGCAGTCTCTTCCTGTATCTTGAGCATCATGTCAGAGTCTGGGTAAGGATGACGGCACTAGGGTTTTTACTGTTTCTGTCCTTAAAGGAAATGCCACGTCCTAACATTAACATTAACATTAACAGACTAGAAGCCAGACTCTGCAGCTCACACACAGTGTCATCTCACCTCACAGCAGTCCTTCAAGTGGTGCTCTGACACCACCAGTTTATGAACTGGGAAACTGGGGCTTGGAAGAGTAAAGGAAGTTGCTCCAGGTCCCAGTCAAACCCAGGATAAGCCCCACTACACTAACAAGAGCCTTCAGGTGACGGTTCTAGAATATGTCCAAAAGCTCTCTGACCTTCCTCCCTTGAAATGGTAGCACCTACTGCCCTAGTGACTTGCTTCTCAAGAGTAGAATGATGCTCCATCATTAAAAGGATAGCTTCTGCCTGGTTCTCTCTTCCTTGGATTCCTGGCTCTGGAGGAAGTCAGCCGCCACGTGATGGGACAATCACGAAGCGTGGGCAAGGCCCAAGTTGGGAAGCCTTCACATGACTGCGGCTCTGACACCGTGAGTGCAGCCTTGTGAGACCCCAGAGCAGAACTGCCCAACCACGTGGCTCCCAAGTTCCTGACCCACAACACCTGTGGGAAGTAACACAAGCTTACGGTTGGTTCACACCACAGTTTGGGGATGGACAGCAGGTTACACAACAAGAAATAACTAGTACACCTGACTTCTAGTTCATTTTCATATTCATAAACCTAGGATTCTGAAACTACATTCTGCCTCCTTTTTACGAATAGCATTTGCCCACAGAGAGCTCCAAGGAGATTTTCCAGCAATAGCAGCCACCAAAAGGCCAGCAATATGGAAAAGAAAATGAAGGAAAAACAACAACGGAAAGATCAGCAGGAAATAGGGAGAAAAGCACTGATGTTTGCAGTTTACCTGGAAATGCATTTTAAATGTAATAGAAAAGAGCAAATCTGACCCCATACTAGATCTGTCCGTTGGCTTTCATTTCACCTTGTGCCCTGTTTTCTAGGCTTAGTCTTGCTGATTCCGCACCTTTTGTGAAACAATGTTGCCTAGAGCCTGAAATAGATAAGACAGCCCATCCTCAAGGCTCTGACCTTTAAGGATATTAACACTTTTGCACTCATATGAAGATAACAAGTTGCAGATTAGAAAACAACATTTGTTTTGTTAGAGGTTTTACAGGGTATACATGACCTGACCCAGGTGGACAGCTGCAATAGCAAAAGATTCCAAGAACACAGAATTCCTACACCAGGAAGTCTGCAACAACCAACCACACCCACTCCCCTTTTCAGTATCAAAGGAGCCTGAATTCTGACTTGGGGAAGATGGTGCTCCGGGACATTTGTCTGCCATCCTCTCGGTCTGCTGGCTTTCCAAATAAAGTCACTATTCCTTGCCCCAACACGTCGTCTCCCAATTTACCGGCCTGTCGTGCAGCGAGCAGAACGAATTTGGACTCGGTGACATAAACATAAGATAAATGAATAGACAAAGAGATGAGCAGATGGACAGACATGAGATGGAGCAGGTATGGCCAAATGTTAACACAATAGAAGTGGCATAATATTAAAGACAAATGCAGGATGTTGGAGTTAGTATTTCTTACAGTTGAGACTTTAAAGAATAATAATAGCCAATTTCCAGCTAATGACAGCCGGGATGAGCATAGTTCACAAGAGCATTACTGGAATCAGCCCGAGTGCCGTCGGACCGCCTGCGTGCCTGCTCATTTCAGCCTCTCTACACTCCAGTCTGTGATTCCTGAACTCAAATCTCACTCCCTTCCACTGTCGGGCAATTGTATGACACAGGAGTCATCTGAATCTTCTCACTGGAATACTCTTTCCACGGAGTTATGGGCATAGGCACTGGGGGCCAGCACCTAATGCCTGAGGTTACATTAATGCCATCTAATGTCCTGCTGTCACTAAGATTGGGGTTTTTCCCGCACATCAGCCTGCTTATGCCTCCTCCTCCCCACTTTCTATTGTTACAGCAGTGTATCTCTTTAAGGTCAGAATAAACATCATAGGTAAGAAGCATAATATCTATGGAATGTAAGTAATTTTTATAAAGGATGGTTTGGGAGCCCTGTATTCTCTAAGAATCCCTCAAAGGAATGGGGTTTCTGAATGTGCTTGATAAGTAACCTTCAATAGGTAACGGACCGAGGAGAGGGTAGAGCTCAGTGGCAGAGCACATGCTTAGCATGCACGAGATCCTGGGTTCAATCCCCAGTACCTCCATTAAACAAGCAAATAAATAAACTTGATTATCTCCACCCACCTCCAAAGAAAAACAGAGGTAATGGGGGAACTAGCCCATCGGGAAACGCTGACCCTACATAAGCATGTAAAGTGGTGTCAGGGTCAAAATTATCAGTCATCTATTCCCAGAAAAGTTCACTGAATTGCACCTTATGGTGGATGCTCTGATCTACTGAACTGTACAGTAAACGTGGGAAGCTGTGAAACAAAACAGTAATAAAAGCACAAACTTCCAAATCAAAGCAACGGGAAGCAGGACGGGCTCACACACAGCCTCTAATCATCAGGTTTTATGACTCTCTCAAGAAGAAAACTTTCTGTAACAAGTCAAGTTACAGCACTTGACCATCTCCTTTCACCTCCAAGGCAGCCCCTGTGAAAGGAGAAGACACCTTCACCCTCCTCCAGGGCCAGGACGAAGGCCAGTGAGCGAGGCCCTTGCCCCAAGTGCCAAATTCAAGGGGGCACCAAAAAAACTCAGTCATCAAGATAAATAAAATTTTAATATCTAAAATAGTCTTAAATAGCAAAAGTGATACAAAAATTAAATTATGAACCAAAAAGCCAAAACATTAACCAAAGGCAGGATCAGTATTAATCACTGATGTTCCCTTTTGCCTCAGACTCCAACAAGGCTCAGCAAGGGACCGCCCCTTTCCAGAACCAAGAAACTGAGACAGAGCATCAGTAACACACCCAAGACTACAAGGCTCATTAGGTCAGAAGCAGGACCAAACCAACCCAGGTCTCTGTGCTACGAGCCCAAGCCAGGTCCCCTCAGTGAACTGCTCTATTTTATAAGAAATCTCTGCTGTGAGTTTGAGGGGGCTAATAGCCAATCTCCCAGAAGTAAAATTATTCTTAAATAATCTGAAGGGGGGACTGAACTCAAGTCAAACTCACAAGGAATACAAACTGATACAAAAGCCAATAAAATATTCATTTCTTTATTTCACTGATGCAATGTATATTTCTGAAACCAAGTTTCTTAAATAAATACTTACTGATGGAAGAGTAAGTGTCTTGAGAGAGCCTAAAAGAAAGAAAATAGAGTCATAATTTGAATACAATATGATACAACACTCCTAAGATCCTCTCAATCCTCTTTCAGATGTAAAGGGAGTCATAAGCTTAGGAAACCACGAACTTACTTGGTCAAATCAAAACAATTTTACCAAAGCCCAGAACACTTGAGAGTTATTACAGATCCTGGTGCCAAGGAATGAAGACTTCAAAGGCTATCAGAATTAGTTAAGTAGTTAAGTCCTGCTTCTGTTTTCCATCACTATTTTTGCTGTCAGTGTTGCTGCTGCTCCTGCTGCTGTTTAAGGTTGTCCATGTCTGAGGGACACTTCCAGCAAGCTGAGGTCCATTTCCCATGTTCTCATACACTCATGATAAAGGGAAGAGAGGAAGGCATGAGTCACGTCAGGAAGAGCTGGGACTCATAACTGGCCCATCAGTACTAGGGTGATGCAGACTTGTTTTCATGTAAGTTTTGAAACAAAGACTGCGAATTTCACCCATGCCAATTCCTCATCACATCTATTTACTGCAAGGGAAAAAATGTTTCGAGTTAAAAAGAAGAGTATTCATCCAAAGTTGCCATTTAAATGATACGAATTCAGAAGTGGTGACAGGCCCTCAATTCCTTCATTTATTTGAGAAATATTTATTAAGGGTACCACAGTGAACAAGATACACGTGTCTACCCCAAGGGAACAGAGTGGCACAGCGTCGAGCAGGGTTAATGAAGCAAGTAGCCTCTGCAGTCAGAGCACATCGGTTCTCTCCTCAACCAGCCACGCATGAGTCCTGTCCTTGACAACGTTACCTGACTCTCGGGGCTCAGCTATGTCACCCATAAAATGAGGATGCTGATAATTGCAACAATCTCACAAAGTGGATATAAGGAATAAGTATGTCAATGCCTGTAAAGGGTACAGAGCAGTGCCTGGCACATAAAACATACTTGACCAACGTGCGTCATTATAGGGCCAGAAAGCTTGCCGAGTCCCCCACTAGCATGTCAGTGTGCCTCTGTAACCTGTTTGATGATGGAGCATGCAGTCAATAAAGTATTCAGTACCGGTTACCCCATCAGGATAGATTTATAAAATATGTGGATTTTACATACATAAATAATACTTTATACATTACATAAAATATATAAATGTATTATATATACCATATAATATATATTATATATTATGTAAATATATAATTTGTATATTATGTAAATAAATTATATATTATATATTATGTAAATACATAATTTACATATTATGTAAATGAATTATATTTATTTAAATATGTAAATTATAATCTATGCTATATAAATTACATTTACTTAAATACTATAGATTATATTATATAATTCATGTAATATACATTACATATTTATGTATATTTATTTATGTATAAGTATTACATATTTTTTATAAAATATATATAATGCACTTTCTTAACCAAAGTATTAAATAGTTTCTTTTTTTTAGCTTTTCTAATAAAACAATAGAAATAAAAGTTAGTACCTTTTCCACATACACTCTTATAAATGGTCCTGTGCACTCCCAGATGTGTGCACCCCATCTATGGCCACTGCCTCGATGGGTCTCAGTGAAACACAAATGTTTTCCGGAGCAGATAAGCAATGCATCAAAATCACTAACCACACAGCACAGACCAGTTTATCTAACATCTGTCACCACAGGAAGCAAAGAGCAGGGCTCTGAAATCATATGACACTGGGCAAAGAGTGTCTTGAAAAGTGAGAAGCAGATACAGCTCTACGTGGAAGGGCTGCAACGGAGGTGGGCTGCAACAGAGGTAGCCTGGGGAGCACTCCAGAGGGATCACAGGAGGTCCCTGGAGAAAATGATGCAGAATCTAGGACTGTAGATTGGGGGAAAATGAGCCAGGTGAGAACGGAGGGGCAGAATCTCCAGGCAGAGCAGCAGTAAGTGCAAAGGAGTGGAGGTCAGCATGAGTCTATGGAAGCAAAGAGCCAGATGAGACAAAACCAGAGGTGGGAGGGGCAGAAGAGATGAGGCTGGATCAGACCACAGAAGGCCCTTTAGACACAGAAGGCCCTTTAGACAGGCGAGCCCCCCCAGGATGGTCCAGGTCACGCTGTTACCCCAGCATTCCGTATCTAGCATTTGTCACAGATCTTTTTTGATTTAGCAAAATATTAACATGAGGTGGGTTTAATTTGCACAAGATTTAACTCTGAAATTTGTGTAATCACGCTTTGCGAATCTCTCCATTTGTGGGCAGAAACTTCTGTGCGTTAAGTTCTTGCTGTTAATGGGAGAGGTGTATTCTATACTGAACCGAAGTGAAATTGAGAAGCCTTTGAGGTGTTGCAGCAGCTAAACTGGGTGAACCCCCAAAAGAACCATAAAAAGACAACTGACATGTTTTGTCTTGTAAAAATATTTGTTGAAAAGAACCACAGTACTCTGCAGGCAGATCTGCAAAATATTTGGGCTGAAACACTTAAACAGTACAGTATGGGGAAAAAATTGGCATCGGGAGCTTGGGTAGCCTCTTTGTGTATCTTGAAACTCCTGTTCCCTCAGTCACAGAGGCTCAAAACCTCAGTCCTCTTGGACTCCTTTCTCCCCTCAACTCAATTTTAGCCATCAGCACAGCACAGGTTCCTCTTCCATAATGTTTCTCCCATCCCTTAGAGTTACACACAAGCGCTGCTGGAGTGGAGCTAATTCTAAAATAATCTGTGGCATACAAGAACTTCCAAAAAAGAAACAAAAACTGGAAAACTTCCCAACTCTTCTATCAGCTCTTCACACTACAGTGTGAAGTTCATTTCAAGATCAAGATCGGAATAACCCATCCTCAAAGGAAAGGTAAACAGTAGCTTTTGTCTGAGGCTGGGTTCCCTGGGAAGCCAACACTGAGATGGTTGATTGAAGTGCAAGAGGTTTCCTACAGATTTTTCTGCATTTATTTTATAGATGATCACTTTATTGAATTTGCTTATTATTTCCAATAGTTTTTCAGTTGATTTTCTTGTGTTTTTGAGGAATGCAATGACGATATCCACAGATAATAAGAAATGGGCTTTCATATTTAGAATATTAATGCCTTTTATTTTACTTTTTTAATTATTTTATTGTTTAGCACATTTATACTGTTTGAGACTTTAATCAGAATGTTTATGTTTCACCATTAAGCAGGATACAAGTTACTGGTTTGGTGTATGTGTATGTTACTAATTTTATTGAATTTCTAAAAAAATCAGGATGTTACGGTTTTTGGAAACCTCTCATGACCATCACATGATTTCCCTCTTTGATTCATTAGTATGAAAAAATATAGTATTAGATGCCCTAAAAAAACTAGCGCAAGAGGTTTTGCAGGGGGTGTGCCTGGGACCAGTGCGTGGAGAAGGGAAGGAACTGGAAGGAGGCAGGACTGGGGGGAGGGGAGATGGGGGCTGCAATGCAGGCTCAGGACAGGTCCAGGGGGGCACTCAGAAGTAGCACTGACTCCTGAGAGTTGTCCTGAGTTGAGGGAGAGGGGTGCCCCTGGGACAGGGAGACTCTCTCTAGCTGGGGCAGTCCCCTAAGGGGCTGGCTCAAAGGGCAGTATTCCCAGCAGCTTCAGAGAATGAGTCTTCCTCCCTGATGGGGGCAACCTAGACAGTACAGCGCAGCAGCCCCCACAACGTCCCACTGCGGAATAAAATCAAAAGTGTTGGACTGCAGGGGGCTCAGCCCCAGCCAACCAGCACTCTTGATTATTGAGAGTCCCTGATTTTCATGACTTTAGGACAAACTGTTCACCAGGCTTGATTACTTTGTCAGCCCGGTAACTGGAGGAAACAATGTGCTTCCTTTCTACCATGGCCTGACACACCATCTTACCTCCCAACGCTCACAAAGACTAAAGATACATATGCGTGTGTCAGGGCTGGATTTATTTTTATCTAAGTGACATCAAGCAAGGAGAAAGTAAAACAAAACAGCTTCGAGTCTCTGATCCAAGTAAATCTAGCAGATTGATGGCAAATTGAAGGGCAAGCATTTCAGCAGTTTAAAACCAGCCACCCAGATGTGAAGTACAGGAAATCCCATTCATAGAACTTTTTTTTTTTTACTGTAACTCTTCATAGAGTCAAAGCTTTGAGGGTCTTTCTCACTTGAGAGAAACTGGAAGGGGAGTGGACTGCATGCCTGGGTCCTACCTCTGTGACACGTGACTGTGCCCATCACACACCCAGGAAAGGCACAGACCCAGAAACAGAAGCCACACCCAAAAGCTGGAATGTAGGGGCAGAGAGGCCCCACCCAGGCCTAATTCTTGCCAGATTCATAAAGTGACTCAAAGGATGTGCAGAGAGATCCAGCGTAAGGCCCCCTTCACTTGCCTCAAGCATCTTATTAAAAGGTCACCTTTAAGTGCTAGACATTTTTTTCTACTTGGTGTCATCCCTCTAAATTCATAAAAGCAGCTTGGAATTTCCTAGGGACTTATTAAGTCTTATTTGGAAGTTCTAATAGTCTAGCAATAATTTACAGCACCAAAACATAAAACTGGGGCAGGGTGGTGGGAGTGCAGATGGGAAACAGGCATCCCTTTCCCTGGAGTTGCTGGGTTGAGGATTAAATAGACAGAATTTGCAAACTGTTGTGAACATTCTTCTCCCTTTCAGTGGGGCTCCCCTGAGACATGGGCAATAGTCACCACCTCTTAAAACACTGCATGGCATCCTTAATCACTGACTAAAAATACATTCTGTCCTCTGAAATCCTTCTCAACTTTATTGCAGACAACTCTGTAAAACCCAGATCGTATCGTTTTTGTGTATAACCAGAGAAAGTCGATCTTAAAACCCTTCCAGTGCTTTCTGCCTCCCAATGCCACCAAAGCCACTCAAAAGAAACTTTGTTTTAAGGCTTCACACTTGGCACGGGCTGAGAGCTGGCCGTCATCTGATTTACAAATAGAGTCAAAGCTATTTTTAAATGGTGTAATAAGCATACACAAAAACTAACCTTTCCTTAA